TTCCATTTTATAATCACAAGAGGCAAAACATATTTGAAATAATCGAAATTGATGTGAGAGCTGAGGCTTGGTTATGACTTAAGTCCTCTAATTAGCTATGTTGAGAAATCTAGGATTAAGTCCTAGATGCCACTCATGGGTGGGAGCAAGAAAGCAGCCTTGTTGACAAAGGAGAAAGGAAGACTGTGAGAAGAAACAGGAGAGGACAGGGCCTGGCACATGGAAAGCAGGGCTGCAATAAGATTTCATATACAGTGGATTGAAAAACGGGTAGCTGGATGTGCCTAGAGGGCTTCCACTTGGGTCTGTTGGGGAGCAGCCTATTATAGTGAAAGATTTATTTCAAAAGTTTTAAGGAGGTATAGTGGGGGAAAAATAAGATTTGGTGAGTGTGCATTGCTCTTCCACACACTGAAATAATGTAGGAAGTAAGTGAAATAAGCAGTTCTAGAGGGTGTTCTGGGGGGAATAGTTGTTACTTTTAAGTATTGGAAAAAGTTATCATTGTTGCTGTTCTAAACTATACTTCATAGAGGAAGTTTAATGTTGGTATTCTACATAAAAGTTTATGTTTTGCCAAGTTGATGTCTTTCCAAATTCGAGAACCCCAATTAAAGTGGGTAGAGAGCAGTGGTCTAATCTACTTTATAACACACATCGAACACCAGGATGTTTTTGATTGGTTTTAGTTTGCTATACACCACTGAAAGAGCATGGAAAATAGGTTCCAATGCAAGGTAATTTAAGTAATTTGTGGTTACTGCTTGTATTTTAAAGCGTTTGTTTGCATCGTAGTGTAGCTTATGCTTGAAAAGATTCAGAATTTACTGCTTGAAATCAAGAGGTAGCGTTCCACCACTATGCGAGTAAATGGGAGCCAGCAAATACAGTAAGAAATGTCTGCTGCTCATAATATAAAGAGGGAAATTGTCTATCTATGAAAGGGATAGACAGTAACAATAAGCTGCCTCTGTGACCCCCCCACCCCAGTTAAGGAAAGCAGGCATACAATAGAAGTAGATGCCTGGAGGATAGATAAGCTATGGGTTGATAAAAGAGGGGATTTTTAGGATTAGCAGAGAATGAAAAAACTAAAGCAGAAATTTGAATGTTTCAGTGTTATAAATGTAAATCACTTTTCAAGGGACAACATAATTCCAGGGTTATTTTATGACTTTGTTGTTCATATGCGAGATTGAAAATAGCTTTTTAAAATCAGTTTTAAAAATTATTTCTGTAATACTTGCGACTTTCATACATTTGATATTAATGACAAAAGGGAGCCCTTGTTTTCTTCCCCCACCCTCTGGCCTTGACTCAAGGGTAGCTGCTGGTCTGTGTCTCCAATATTATTCTAAAAGTGTTAGAAATGTTTCTCTCTACTTGTAGTTTTACAAAAATATCTCATATTTTTGCAATCTACTTTTTAAAAAACTTACATCTTAGAAGTCTCTTCATATTGTCACATTGACTTAACTTGTTTTTAAAAATCTACATAGTATTGAGCTATATGAATTCATTATGTTTCCTCACCTATATAAAAACCTTATAGATCTAGAATAATGCATTAATGTTTTTACAAAAAGATGTAAGCTTTTATCATGATGCGCAAGGTCTTCTACAGAATCATGTATGAAAATGTTTATTTTATTTGTTTAAGTGCATACATTTCCACATCCCTCTTATGTAGAATGATAAGACCATTGGTTTGGAAAAGTCTTTTAAGATCATCTCTGATGTGATCCTTGTAATGACAAAATATAGACCCCATGGAAGGGATAGTCTTTAAATGAACCGAGTACTTGAACACTAGTACTAGAGGTGCCTTATTAGTCAAGATGCTTTCAGTTGCAAGGGACAATGTGTCTGACAAGACATGGTTTGAGAAGAAAGGTTGTACAAGAAGTCCTTAGGTAGGTTGTCCTGGTTTTGGTTACTTTAGTGGCTAAGTTTCTATAAATTATTTAGCTTTCCCTTTGAATTTCCAGATTGTTGAAGTGGCCTGATAATTGTGACCTCACACAGCTGTGTTCAAAGGCAGACAGAATAGTAATTCTTCTGGCATATCAGGGAGGAGGGCTTGTCCAAGTACCCCTGTAGGGACCCTTCCTTGCCTGCCCTTGATAAGATGTGGGTCATACACCAAAGCTTTCACTGCATGGGAGTCTGAGAAAACACATTTCTGTAAATCTCGGACTGTAGTGATTGGTGTTTCAGCAAGGAAGGTTGAAAGGGATTTGGAGAGAGATGTTGGATAAATATTCCACAAAACTAGCAATAGCAGCCAATTATATTTTGATAGAGTCAAAAATCTGTCTCCCTTAAGTCTAATTTTGGTCATGGAAGCTATAGAAGCTGTTTTAGAGGAATAAGACTTTCAATGAAGGAAATACAAACATACACCACATGATGACATGTTGGCCAATGACGCACCCCATATGCAGTACTGAGTCCCTTGCAGTTCTATTGCTTAGTGACCTCTTAGCTATTTTAGTTTGTGTAAATGAACGCTATGATATTTTTGAAACAAAGAGACCATCTCACTGCACTTCAGAGTGCATCACTGTGGTTAGGCACCACATGACTATGCAGAAAGCTATAGAGCTCTTCTTTCCCTTCCTTTACACCCCTTTCCATGGCCCTTTGTATGGCTATCACGGAGTAAACACAGAAGACTGCTGTTCCTAGGCTCAAAGTCCTCCCTGGAGTTCGCACTGGGCTGTGCACCACAGCTGCACTGCAGCCTGTGTCCTTCTCTACAGCTGCTCCTCCAATCCTATAGCTGCTGCTTTATTGTTCTGTTTCCATCATGCCCTTTGAGCCAGCTTAAAAGAATAAGCTGATAGGAACAAGTCAGACCTTTGCTAAGTATTGTTAACTGATTACAGTTCTGAGTAGAACTTCTGTCCTTCTGCCCTTTTAAAGATGATTGCTGGTATTGCCATCTATATCTATGTCTATATCTATATCTATATATCTATATATCTATATCTATATCTAATCTGTATCTATATCTTTCCATTCCCTTCTTTTTTCATCAAACTTTGAAATGACTTAGAGGGCCAGCCAGATAGCTCAGTGGATTAAAGTGCTTGCTTAGGCCGACATAGGGGCTGGGGTTCAGTTCCTGGCATGTCGTGCAGGCCCCACTCCTGGGGCGTGCTGAGATTCAGTCGAGAGCATGGTGGCATGCACCTGTAACCCCAGCGCTTGGGAGGCTGAAAACAAGAGGATCACTATGAGTCTGATCCTTGTAGTGAGGCCCTGTAGACCCTGCACTAAATACAGGAAATGACTTAGAATGGGTGGTAAGTAAATAGTTGATATGAGGATTCTTAGCAGTACTCTTACCTACCAGCCTTTATTTCTTTTTTTTTTTTTTTTTCCCCCGGAACTGGGGATTGAACTCAGGTCCTTGCACTTGCCAGGGAAGTGCTTACTCCGCTGAGCCATCTCCCCGGCCCCAGCCTTTATTTCTTTGGGCAATTTGTGAAACAGTTATAACAGTCTGGAAAAAAATAGTAAGTGATAAGGAAATAAAAGGCCAAGAAATTGGGTCTTACGTGGGTCACCATTCCCTTGGCTTTTCACAGTTTTAAAGATCTTAGAGGCCAGGGAGATGGCTCAGTGGAATAAGCACTTCCCTGGCAAATGCAAGGGCCTGAGTTCAGTCCCCGGTTCCGCCCCCCCCCAAAAAAAAAGTTTTAAAGATGTTAGAGGGTCCATCTCTCTTGAGGTCTGAGGACCTGTGAATTGCAGGATAACTCTGACTTGAGCATGTCAAGGGTCCACTGTTCTCTAACCCCATTCCCCAGAATTATTAGATAAGATAATATATTTAAGGATGCTAATTCAGATGAAAAGCTGTGATATGGACAGATCCATTGATTTCTATTTTTAGGTGAGACATCATTGGAGACAGTGTTTGTTTGTGCAGTTCACCCTTTTTCTCCCTGATGTTGAATAAATAATAACTTTTAAAAACTGAATTTATACTTAATACTTTAATTTTTTTGATTCCTATGTAGAAATCCATAGAAATCGTAGTTTGACTCTTATGTATAAATCTGTAGAAATCATAAACCCTAGGAAGTCTAAAACTAGAATCTTACCAGTTCAAAATTTGCAAAATACTTTGGTTCAGAGAAAAGAAAATTATGGCAGCCTCTTAAATAACTTCATTTTTCATGTAGTATGTTTCCTGAAAGGTTGTATCGTACAAAGAGGACATGAAATCTGTAATTTAACAGAAAGAGAAAACTAAGCAAGATTTCGAGAACCTGAACTATGTGGTTGCCCACCCTCCAGTCCTGTTTCCTTCCTGGTGTGCCATATGGTTCTTGCCAGCGTCACATGTGGCTACTATTACATGGCCTTTGAAAGTCTCTGCTCTTGTTTTGAGGCATGTGAGTCCTTTGCAAATTGTTCCTAACTAGCACGTGGGTAGGACAACAGAATACCCAAATTGATAAGTAGTATGAGTTCTTACATATGCTTTTTGGTGTCTAAAATTGATTCTTCCTTATTCTTTTGTTTATTGCTGTACAACAGAAGAAACCTCACTTCCTATTTCTCAGTGCCTAAATGGACAAAATATTTGTGAAAAATACATTCTTCCTGCCCATTTTTCTTCCAGCGTTGCACCTGAATAATTTCATAAAGTTCTTGAGTTTTCTGCCTATTTTGAGTGTTTGAAGGCGAGAAATATCCTAGTCTTGCAGTTTTTGTTTAAAGAGAACATTGCTCATCTGCTTATAAAGACAGTGGTGACCTAGTCCATTAGTTCTTACTTTGAGAAATGTGGCAGAGCTGAGTGACTTTGTGGATAGCAGATTTGAACCTGTTAACTTATTATAAAGAATAGCTGTAGCAATAGTCACCTTCGGTTATACTATACATCCATAAATATTAGTCTATGAAAAAGGTAAGTGAAGAGGAGAAAACTTCAAACTTGTATTGGAGGCAGATAGATCATCTTATTTTTGCTCTTCTTGTTTTAGAAGTTCACCTGGACCCCCATCGAACATGGTGTCCTGTTGCAGACTGTCAGACCGTATGTCCTGTTGCCTCGAGTGACCCAGGCCAGCCTGTGTTGGTGGAGTGCCCTTCTTGTCACCTGAAATTCTGCTCATGTTGCAAGGATGCTTGGCATGCAGAGGTCGCCTGTAGAGACAGTCAGCCTATTGTCCTGCCCACAGAGCATGGGTAAGAAAGGAAAGCATGTTTGTTTTTAGAAACTTAATATAAGGTACTTGGGAAGGGTTATCTCATGATGACGTGTAGACATTATTTTCCTACAGAATTTTTCAAAGAGGCACCCCAGAATGGATATTTTGCTAACAAAGAGTAACTATTCAAAAGCAGTTCTAAGAGGGATTTATTTATTTGTCTCAGCAGAGTCTTTCAGATGTTGCTGAAATTGGGGTTTTGCATGAGTTTTGCTTTCTTTTTAAGTAGAGATATCCTGTGCTTTATGGGTTCTCAGCAGGGAGAAATGGCTTTGTTCACAGCTATTTGCTTAGCTACCAAATCTGCCTACTGTCCATATCTCTCATTTTTCCTGCTTGCAAAATGAAGCAGAAATTATGTTTTTCACTTCATTAAGTTACTACTTGATGGGGTATGCCAATCATAGCAAAAAACCCCCACAGAAATGAAAAAGCTCCTACATTCTTAGAAAATATAGGAAGATCAATTCTTTTTTTAAATTTTATTTATTTATTTTAATATAATAACTTTTTTTTTCTTTTCAAAGTTTTATTGATAAACATATAGCAATGAGACAGTTTCAAATCAAATCGAGGAAGAGAAATTCTTAATACTTTATCTTCAGAAAGGATGGTACCAATGTTTAGATTTTGCTATGATGAGGAGCAGTTAAATCTCTCCCGTTTTGTTCAAAGTTTTTATGGCAGCAGCAGGGCCAGCGCAAGGGACCTTTGCATTTGATCCCTTGCTTTGCTTGAGGCTGTGGCTGTTGTGCATCTCAAGAACAAAGTACCAGTGTTACAGTCCAGTTGGCTTAATTACCCGGTGCCCTGGGAGCGTGTAGTGCCAGTGTTCAGGAATAGGCATGTGACCTGGCTGTGTGGTGTTTAAATCTCAAACAAAACAAATAGACAAAAAGAAAAAAAAAAGATTGAATGCACAAGCTGTCAGGAGCAGCTGGCCAGATGTGGACCATGCCTCGCATTCTTCATGCCACAGCTGTAGGATCACCGGGTACCACAGGACAGTGTACGGAGCTCATGAAAAGAGGGAGATTTTCACTTTGACCTTGTCACTTGTCACCTTTGTGTCCTCATAGAAGACACTGAGGCTCTATGAGTCTGTTTTCTTATCAAAAAAAGAAGAAAGGGAGGTTAAAACAGAGCGTGTCCCCTTGCTATGTAAAATTATCCCCAGTACAAAGTCTGGTTGTGTCTTTGGAAATACTTGGAGAATTAGCTGTGTCTTGTGCTGGGGGTAATTCTGGCGGATGACACCTGGAGTGTTAGGTAGAGCCGCGGCTCCTGTCCGTCTCTCTTTGCGTCACTCCATGCTTTCTGTGCCCCTTGAGCTGTGTGCCTCTGCTGAGCCATTCATCTGTGAGGAGCAGCTCTTTTCAGTAATGGCATTTATCTTAAGGTATTGATGATCACTGAGTCCCACTCCACCAATTATGTCGTAGCGAGCTGATAGAGCATACCTCAGTTGCATCCCAAGTTAGTGTCCCTGTGGTACGACTGCCTCTTCTGTACTTCTTCCTCGGGCAGTGTATGCTCAGGGAGTGAAATATTTGGTGTCGCAATGAGTTAAATCGTCAGTGGAAAGTGTAATTATGTAATCCACCAAAAGCCAGAATAAATAAATAAATAAGAATTCTTTCTTGCTGTTTTGAGTTTTCTGAACTACTGACAGCCTGTATCTCGATTGTGTTTACCTCTGCCTTTTTCTTGGGGAAGTGAATGAGGTTCAGAAACCCACATTGATTGCCCAGCTTTCCAGAGTGCTGGGAACTCAGCTAATGACAGTGGGCTGACTCCAGTTTCCGTTGGTTTTGTTTCCAGGGCACTACTGTTTGGGACAGGTGCAGAGGCCCCCATTAAACAATGCCCAATGTGCCGCGTTTACATTGAACGCAACGAAGGCTGCGCTCAGATGATGTGCAAGAACTGCAAGCACACGTTCTGCTGGTACTGCCTACAGAACCTGGATGTGAGTGTCGGGGGGTGCACGCATGGTCCTGCCGTGCCTCATCTGCACAGAACCGGGGCCTCCGGGGCTTCCCTTTTGAATAGTGAGCCTATTTTCATCCTGCAGAAATGATTTGTTTTTGTTAATGAGACTTCCTGAGCCTGCTCTCTCAGATAAATCCTCTTTTTGGTTCCTTGAAAGAACTACTCAATGGTGTCTCCTAATTCTCTCATTCACTGGCCTGATAGCAATGCTACTACTGTTTTATCGATGAACGGTCCCTTCCTAAATCAAAGAAAGTCCCAATTATTACTTTTCCTTTCTAGTTTTAAATACAAGCATCTGTTTTAGGGGCATTCCATGCTTTGGGGGAATTAATCTTACTTTATTATGGGAAGTCCTGCTGCTGTATTAGTTTTATATTGCTGCTGCTGTAACCAAGTATTGCAAGCTTCATGGTCAACACAGGTTTATTATTATTTTATGTTTCTATATATTAAAAGTCTATGATAGGTCTTGCTGGGTTAAAGTCAAGGTGTTGTCAAGGCTGCTTGCCCTCCTGTAGATGCTAGAGGAGAATACATTTCTTTGTTCTTTCCATCTTCCTGACGCTGCCTGTAGAGCTGGGGTGGTGGCCCCTTCCTTCCATCTTCAAAATCACTAATGTTACATCTGTCTTCTTTCTTGGTTGACACTCATTTCAATCATAGCTTGGAGAAGTTCTTTGGTCTTAGACATGTGTGATCAGTTTGGGTCCATCGGGGTAGTATGTAGAATAATCTCCCTTACATCAAGGCCTTTAATCTAATCAACTCTTCTTTGCTATTTAAGGTAATGCATTCACAGGTTGTTAGGCCATAAATATCTTAGGGGGCCAAGTTACTCTGCTTATCATAATTGTATTGTTGGTCTGGTGAGATGGCTCAGTGGTCTAAAGCACCTACTTAGATAAAGCTAAGCAAAGCACAGGGACCGCGGTTCAATCCCCCAGCACCACATGCCAGCCAGCCCCGCCCCCTGGTGGGCTGAGCTGGCCACACACACACATACACACACACATAAATAAATAAAATTTAAAATAAAATAAAAAAAAATAATTGTATTGTTTATCTCTATGAATTGAAAGGAAAAAACTGCTCAGTAGTGTCTCCTAATTCTCTCATTCACTGGCCTGATAGCAGTACTGCTACTGTTTTATCAATAAATGGCCCCCTTCCTAAATGAAAGAATTTCACAGTTATTACTTGTCCTTTCTATTTTTTTTTTTTTTTTTCCGGAACCGGGGATTGAACTCAGGCCCTTGCACTTGGCAGAGAAGCGCTTATTCCACTGAGCCATCTCCCCGGCCCCCTTTCTATTCATGTAGCATGTCTTCACAAATTTGAACAGTTTCAATGAGCCCTGGGTCAGGCCAGGTGTTAACCTCAGGGTTAAAGTTGGTGGGAAGGATTGGAGAGAAGCCTTATTCCTACTCAGTTGTTCTAAGTTTGGTACAGTGCCAGCTGGTGATAGATATTCCCTGTCCTGGCCATTTGAACTTATATGTCCCCATCAGTGCCAGCCCTAATTCATGGTCATATCACCATTCTCTTTTTCAGCTCCTTGTTTTTGCATCTTGTTTTGCTTTAACTCAAGCAGTGTGTTTAGTGCCCCTGTATTTAACACACTCAGTGAGTGAGGGTTCAGTTGACACCGCAGACCTTCTGGCCACTGTGGGCTTGGCTTTATTAACTGAAGATTAGATATACCATTTTGGGTACCATCTGTGAGTAAGAATCTCAGTCAGCTTAGTCTCAGTGTTTTAAGCAAGGATATAAACCAAAGAGATAAAAATACACATTTTAGATTCTAGGAGGTCAACAGGTCAGATTGGAAAAAATGCTTTTTACTTTAATTTTTAAAATTTGCATATCTTTCAAATTAAGTTTATGTGATATTGAAGACCAATTATAATTCTGAATGAGTGATTATCTGGTCTCTGGATGAGGATCCCATTGACTGTATACCCCATGTGCTTTATAAATGAAAAACAAATCATCCTGTTTTCCTTCTAGTTTAGCCAGACCGCTAACCAAGTTCATATCCTCAAGGCTGCTGGGCCATGAGGTTCTCTTTAGGAGGCACGAGCGCAGAGGACTGAACACGTGTGCCAGCTCTCCCGCATGGGTTGAAGTATGCTTGAGGGCGGTGTTGTAGAGAATGCTCCCTTCTGTTGCCTGTGCCCTGCTGGCACTCCAGAGAAAATGATAGAGATGCTAAATGGCTAAGTACACAGATTTCAGATGTTGGAATGCTTACTGCTTTTTGGGATCTTGTTTTGTCTTTTTTAGCCAAGAGCCTTGGTTCTTCAGTAATGATGCTTTTCTCCAGACAAGTGTTCCATGTCATGTGACACTGTTGATTCCTGTTTATGGTTAAGTTGAAAGTGCAGGGCCAGGACAGGCGTGATTTTCTAAAATCCCAGTCTGAGACAGACATAGACTCTGAGTGTTGTGGGGACGCTGAGTTTGGTCCTGCAGAAATCTTCAGCCTTGCAGTTTCAGAGGCCAAGGTCATCTTCATAATCTGCTTGGAAATCCGATTCCTGTTTGTAGCCTCAGAGCTTTGACCCCTTCAGTTGTCTCTAAAGCATTGTTTCAATTTTCACTGTCTGTTCCCCACCATGTCCAGGCATTTTGTTGTTTGTCACCTCAACAGAGCAAGCCTTTCCTCATGTCTTCCCTTGCTTCTCTCTGTGCTTTAGCTTCCAGGCTTCAGAAAAGCCTCAGTACCTCCTCAGTGATTTCTTATTGATAAATCCTATGGTGACTCCAGTCTTTATCTTTTTCAGATTCTCCACTTCCTGTGACATCCTGGCCACCTCCATTTCAGTTACCATCTTTGCTGGTTTTCCATCAGCCTTTCTGGCTGCCTCAGGTTCTTTCTTGAACAATTCCTAAGTATGCTCAGGAACCTCTGCTATTCTCAGTCTACATATCTTTCCAGTTATCTCATGCGCACTTACAATTTCTCCTACCCCATGGATAGCAATGCCCAAACCACTTTTATTCCAAAACCCAGATCTACATAATGAACTTCCCTGTGAATAATACTTGCTGAACTATTTGTCAGGTTTAACCTGTCCAGAGCATGGTTACCACCCTCCTCCTCCAACAGTGTCATTCTTTCCCTTGACAAAGCCACTGCCTTCTTTCTCCCCAGCAGCTTCCCCTTATCTCTGATTTTTGTCTCCCTGTTTCTCCACCCATCTCTGTAGTAATCTTTTTAATGTCTTAGGACTTCCTCATCTTTCTCAGTCCTTTCTGTGGCCTTTCTCTCACCTGGTTTGTAGCTGCAACAGCCCTTTAGAGACCCAACCGGCAGTCCCCTCATCCCATCTTGTGCCTCTGCAAGAGCTTATAACTACTTTTCTATGATAATTCATCAGGTATTATTTTATTTTTCATATGATCAATCAAAAGTCTCATTGAGTGTGATCTATTTTCCAAAATACACTAAAGATTGCTGGCTTTGAATTGCTAGAGGAAGTTATTGATATCGGTGGGCGATCGGTGTGGTTTATCTTCATCTCTCAATTTGAAGTTGCGTGTTTACTAAGGCCTTCTTTTGTTTTTCAGAATGACATTTTCCTCAGACATTATGACAAAGGGCCATGCAGGAATAAACTTGGCCACTCAAGAGCATCGGTGATGTGGAATCGAACACAGGTAACCTGTCAGGGACATGAGATAAACGGACTTGTGATGAGATACCTAATCAGTCAACCCTTCATCTTCTCTGCCTTATTCCCTGTCTGCGTTATTCGCTGGAAGACTCGGAGAGTTCTGGGATGGGCCGAGGAGAAAGACAGTCCAGGAGCTGGGTCTCTCTGAGGGCAAGTGGAGGGACAGGAGGAGTACTGTAGAACCAAGTAATTGACAGTGGCCTGCAAGGTGAATGCACATGCTTTTGTCCTCTTGAAAAATATGGAAGAACTTTTAAAAAGTCCTTAGAAGCATATTAGCTATCAAAGGCAGAGCTCTAAAGTACTATGGGCTCGTGCTGGGGCTTAGACCCTCTGTACATGTTATTGTGTGTTTATGTAGCTTCAAAGGGTTCATGGTTTCCTTTTAATAGTTTCATCACTGTCAAGACTGTGCCCCTTTTGAGGAGGTTGATGTTAGTATCCTAGTACTCACTATTAACTTCAGTGTGAGACTGTGGGGAGACTCAGGTGGAGAATGAGCCAACAGCAGCAGTTCACAATTCCATGGAGCTTTCTGCCAGGCTTGACTTAGCATCCGGGTTGTTTTCATTTTTTGTTTAGCCCTTTTTATCTTTTTCATTCGTGTCCAGTTGACATCCTAGCACGACCCTGGCTAGAATACCCTGCGAATGTAGTGGTCCTGTGTGCCCAAGAGCACATCGTAGTCATGTGGGCTGTTAGGAAAAATGATCATAGGCTGATTAGCTTAAACAGTAGACATTTAGTTCTCACAGTGCTGGGGTCTGCGAGGTCTGGGGTGGCCTGGTCAGGGTCCGCTGAGGACTTGCTTCAGGTTCACAGGTGACCATTTCCTTGCTGTGTCCTAAAAGGGAAGAACACCAAGGAAAGGAAAGAAAATCCTCTTATGTCTCTTTATAAGGGCACTACTTCTTTTTTAAAATTTTCAAAGTTTCTGTTAGCACATGTTTGTAGTCCCAAGTGACTTGCATTCATTGTGGGAAACTGGTACGTGCACACTACACTTCTCAATTCTTTATTGTTTCCCTTCCTTTATCCTTTAAAAGATTTTTGCCAGCATCATATTCATTTATTTATTCTATAACTTCCTATCAAGTTAATTATCATAAATATAGATTAGTAGCCCTGCCAAAACATATTAAAAAACATATTATGCTAATTATGATCAATCAAGGTTTACTTTGAGATACATTGTGCCTGCTGGATTACAGTAGCGTTTTTTTCTTGTGGTCTGTCTTTTATTTAAGGGCACTAATCTTATCCTGAGGGTAGTATCTTCATAGCCTAGTTAATTTGCAATGGCCCCCATCACCAAATTCTGTCACTTGGGGACTCAGGTTTCCATGTAGTTTATACGGGGACAAGTAGACCTACTTACAGGAAGGTTTAACTGCTGACTTCCTTCGTAATTTCCAGGTGGTGGGAATCCTCGTGGGACTCGGTATCATTGCCTTGGTGACCTCACCCTTGTTGCTCCTGGCCTCCCCGTGTATCATCTGCTGTGTCTGCAAGACCTGCCGGGGCAAGAAGAAGAAGCATGACCCTTCCACGACGTAGAGCCCTCTGTGTTCCTGTGCCACAGATGTCTGGGTTCTGTGAGACAGCACACAACAAAGCCCACTTAGTGACGCTGCCTCCTTTTCCTTGCCAAACTTTGGAAGTGCCTCTGTGTCCAGACCTTGAACTTGCCCGCAAGCCTCTGCCCGTGCTGGACTAGGCAAGGGCGAGTCCCGGCTGCCAGTGTTCCTGTGTAACCAGTCTCCGCTCTGCAGTCTGCACTGTGTCTGTGGAGCATGTCGGGAGTTTCGGGGTTGCTTATGAGGAATTAGTACATCATCACTTTATCATTCAAAGGATCCCACTGTACTGTTAGTCATCCAGCCAAATTCAAGGAGTCTAAGTGAACATTCAGTATAATAAATATGCTTTTGTGGTTGACAGCATGCAGGTTGAGAAGAAAGTGTGCTCTGTGTTGATTTGCCACAGTGAGAAACCTAGGGGAGGGGAAACCCATTGTGGGAGGGAAGGATAAGACCAAATAAAGAGAGTGTCTCATAGGACTTGTACCCTAAAGCAGGCTGCTTCTCTCAGAGTCGAGATGTTGCTTGTGGCCCTGCCAGGTACTGGGTGTGCTGTTCCCAGCTTTCCCACAGTGACTTGGCAGAGACACAATAGGTTTCTCCCGTGTGATCTCAGCTTTAAGCGGGAGGGACGGCTGCGAGAGGGAGTTGTCCTTCCAGTGAAAGGGTTGCAGCATGTAGAACAACATGGTCTGATTCAGTGTCTGACCTTTGGCCAGTGTTACTTTTCTAAGGTGACCAACTCTTCTCTTGCAGCAAGAAGCTGTGGTCTACAAAACTATATGAAATAAGGTTGGAGTAGGAGAGATTCTAAACCTTCATCTGAGGTAGCAGGGACCTTTCTTGGGCTCTGTGTTCACACCATCAGCTGATTTGGAATGGATCTAAAAGTGTACCTCGGGAGTAAACATTAAATTTTGTTCATACAACTAGACTCCATGTGACTTGCAGCCTTCCTAGAATTTCTGTCCAGTGGGCATGCGTGGATACACCTGGTAGTAGACATGAAATAAATTTTTACATAAAAGCTATTCTTTCATTGACTAAAATGTTGTATCTTCAGTCAGCCTCAAGACCTCTGCATAGTATATATGTGAATTTTGGTTGCAAGCTCACAACTTCCCCAAGGGCATAGACTCACAAGCAGCTCTTTTAAAGTAAAACTAGTATGGTAGTACACTGTCTCTGTAAAAGCCCTAATGGAGGGCTGGGCAGATAGCTTAGCAGACTGAAGCATCTGCTTAGGCAGGCACAGGGACCAGGGTTGGATCTCTGGTGTGCTGTGCCAGCCCTGCCCCTGGGGTGTGCTGAGAAAGCAATTGAGATTGGGCGTGGTGATGCACACCTGTAATCCCAGTGCTTGGGAGGCTGAAAACAGGAGGATCACTACGAGTCCAATCTGTGTAGTGAGACCCTGTAGACCCTATACTAAATACATAATAAAAACCCCTAATGGATAATTAAGATATTTGCATATTTTCAAACAGTGCAGAGCAACTTTCTTCTCAATATAATTTAGCATAATTTTTCTAATTCCATTAGGACAACTTGAATACTTTTTGTGTATACAAGACACTGGTAAGACAATAAAAAGACATAAGTCAAATGGAAATATTTTACATATTTCAAAAAGTTTGCATTGATAGCCCCCTATTGTGTCTTATGTTTCTGATTGTACTGTTCGTCAGATTTACACAAGTGGGTTTTGAAAGGACAACACGTTTCTCCAGCGACAGGATTTATGCAGTTACCATTAGCACTGCAGCCTGGTGCTTCATGAGAACTATACAAATGTTGACAGAGATGTCTCTTGGAAGACAGGATTACCATATCAGGAAATATTCAGGACTAGCATATCATCTGAGGTAACTGGGTAACTAGATTATTAAATTGCTGCTATCTGGACCTATTACTAAAGGGTGAAGATTTGTCTATGTAATGGAGTGTATCCTAAGTGGGGATGTATATATTAAGGAATTTTTAATTTACACGTATATATTGTTACCTGGTATATGTATAGTGCATTCATTGATCATGTACATTTTTTATCTACCGTTTATATAGAACGTAGATGAGAACTCTGGGAAAACTTGAATGGCAATCATCCAAAATCATTTTTTCATCATTTATTAGAAATTTCTCAATAGTGAGTGACTTTTGTTTTCCTTCAACTCTCTAAACACTTCACAGAAAAACCCTCTTCCATCTCTGTATTTTGTATTAGTGTGAACATAAATGTATGGAAATTCAAATAGCTAATGTGCTTTGTTTTACACATAGCCTACTTCATAAAGGGCATTTATCATGGCTCAGGGGGTCATAGGAACTCAGCTGAAATTGAATTTTTGTACCAAGAATGTCAGGGATGGCAGTGTATTCTACCATTAGTAAACTTTGACCCTGACTCCACAAAGGCTGTTTAAATGGAGGCAGATTTTGAGTCTGTGCTCTGCTCTCAGAAGAAGAGCTCATGAATGTGAGTAGAAGTTTAAGAAAATGACTGTGCTATTTCCTCAGCAAAACTAAAAGAATTGTCTTCCCACAGAGATTTTATAACAGAATTAGCTACCTTGTGGGGGTGGGAGGGGAGGGTGGTAGGGACAGGGAGTAAGAAATGCTTATCAATGTGATTTTAAGTAAGTAGAGTTAAATTTTTTTAATGTTGTAAAGTGCCTGAAAAATGGTGACTTCTACCTTAAATAATAATGTGTGTGAGTTGTCAGCGCTAGCAGGAATGAGTGGCAAGGTTGCACCCTAGCGTGTTTCTGGTGCATCCAAGAACATGATGCAAGCCAAACTAGAGAATTCCTTTATAAAGGAGAGAGCCAACAGCTTTAAGGTTGGGGTCGACGTTTTTATCTTGGATAACTGGCCAGGGATAGAGCTTAACCTTATTTCTTCCTCTTAGCTTTACTCTTTCCTAGAGATCATCTTTCTGTTTTAGAACGAGTGTGTATCTACATAAGGCTGGATATTGTAACAAAATCTTTTTGGGCTTGGAGCAGTAGAGTCTATTTGAAATGGAATTTTTAAATTGGCTAAGCTGTAATCTGGTGTAAAAACTCACCAACCTGACATGGTCAGATAAAATGGTACAAATCTAGCCACTGCCTTTTCTAGAAGTCTTTCTTATGCTGTTAGTTAGGGAAGCCAGGAGGAAAGCCATATGGAAGCAGATGTTAGAATCTGAGGCATCTTATTTGTTCATGCCATGAATATTTGCTTTGGACTTGAAATCTGTACTTTGAAAGTGGCCTTTGCAAAACAAATACTTTGCAGTGTGAACTTTCCTTGTGGCCTGCATCACAAAAATGTTATCTACCCAGGTTTGAAAAATCTACGTGTTTATTTGAATGTAAATCACTGTTTCTCAGAATCTAAATTTTGTGTTTGAAAGTATTCAGGATCTATGTGTGTATTTCTTTAGCTTTCTGTACACAGAGCTTCTGAAGAACCCTTCTTTCTGTTCATGAATAGACGCCTTTATGTACATAGAATCGTGTACGTATGTGTAGCTTTAAGGACTATTTCAGAACTGCCTTAGATGAATGATCTTTTATAAAGCTGTCAGAATTGCTATCTCTGAGCTTTTACATCTCATGTTGGTTCATGATGCAGGATGTTTTGTTATGTACTTAAGAAATTGATAATGTATTATATTTTTCCAGTCCTTTGGGAGAAAAGTAACTGTTTTAGTCTCTGGCCCCAATAAATGTGAGCAGGAAATCAAGTGTGTCACCCGTTGTTGTGCTGCACAATTATTGACAAATTTAATCTTATCTGATAAGACCCAACCAAGTTACTATTAAACACTAGACTCAAAGGTTATAAGAACTACTGGAATTTACCAAAATACCAGAACATGGAGTATGCAAATAGCTGTTGCTATTTTGTTTCTTAAAAGAAACAGGCAAGTGTGAATGCCTTTCCTTGTTGAAGACTTTCTTAATCCGTGTGGGATACTCTTCTCCACCACTGCACAAGATTCATTCATTGTCCAGAGAAATAGCCAAGAGCACAGCTCTTTCATCCTTCCGATAAACAGACAAAACACAACACCGCTTGATGTCACAGCCCTTCATTCTGTAAAATGAGGGCCGCCGAGCCAAATGCTCTTTAAGATCAGCTCTGACCTTCCAGGAGCCTGTCAGAAGAATGCGTCTCCTTGTTACAATCTGTAAAGAAGGATTTACATTCGAATGTCCACATCAGGTTATTTCCACTTGATTAGTATTCAAAGCAGGACTTGCTTACACTGAGCACCCGAAGTTGGATAACAGAACTTACATTTCTCTCCAACTGAAAGCTCACTTTCCTCGTGTTGCTCCTTTTATTTTTATCGAGCGTTACATCCCTTGATACCTGAGTTTAAAAGTTTATAATTGACCTACAGTTCACGTTTCACTTTCTAATCATTCACTTTTGGGGAAATCAGTGTGATTGTGACAATGTCAATATGATCCTGTCAGAACTTTTTGGGGTTGTGGATTCTTAACTTCCTTAATCATCTCCTAGAATGTCAACATTATTTCATTTTCAAAATATGCTCACTGTTCTCTAAGCTTGAATTTGCATCCCCAAAGAAATTCTGAATGAACCCTTTTATGCAGCGGTGATTTTTATCAGTGTCCTACCCAGCAAGCACAATGAAGTGTAAATTATAAACCTAGTGAACTGGGGAGAGAATTATAATTAAGTTTTTCTGCAATTCAATTATTTTCATTTGTTAGATAACAAATCTAGCTTTTCTTTGGCCCATAAAGATCTTGTCCAACTCTGTACTTGAAAAATAAATGATTTTCTTCAAAAACTTTAATAGCAATTATAAAATTTTTATTTGTATATTTTTATATAGATTAAAGGACTCTTGAGAACAAACCTGTGAGATAAATGGAGCAGATATTAGATCCATTTCTTAGAAAAATCAATGGCTTAGGGTTCCTTTCTTGTCAAAGGTCAGACAATTGGTCTGTGGCAGCCAGAAAAAGGAAGCCAGAACTCCTTGAAAGGATTTTACTGCCCTTTCTTTGGCCAATAATTGCAAGCTGTGTTCACTCCCAAATCTGCGAATCCAAAGAGAACACACTTCCTGCCCCATTATCTACATAGTTAAAAGAACAACATATATTTCAAATCATAGTTTTGAGCCAGTATTCTTTTTCTCCCCCACCCCCTTTTTAAAAAAATGTGTTTAATACAGCGTCTACAGGGCTTCATTATGTAGATCCGACTCTTAGTGATCTTTATGTTTTCAGCCTCCCAAGCTCTGGGATTACAGGCGCGGGCCGCCACACCCAGTGTCAGTCGCCCAGTCTCAGTGCGCCCTGGGGGCAGGGCCAGCATGGCAGGCCTGGGGATCGAACCCCAGCTCCTGTGCTTTGCCTAAGCAGGCGCTTTAGTCCGCTGAGCTTTCTGGCTGTCCCTTGAGCCAGTGCTCTGTTGTGACAGCGTGTGCAGAGCAGATGCGGGGCCCCTGGGAGCAGCCCTAGGTGACCACGGGGCTCAGCGATTGTAGCCCACAGAGACCAATAGTGACTCAGGACTGCCGAGCCTGCCTACGTCCCAAGCCCAAGTGCTTTCCTCTCCCCAGTGGAACGTGCTCCCACCGGTCCCTTTTGATGTTTACAGTTCAGATTCAAAGCCACTGTTAACCCAGGTCCAGATCTTCTGCTAGTCACATTGCCAATTTGTACCTGAATGTGTGTTTGTGACCCGCCGTGAAATGAACCCATTGGCAGTTTCAAAAGATTGCAGTGAGGCTCTAAATAATGAGTTTCCGGAAACAATCTCTGATGTGTACAGAAAGTTGTGCTTCGAATTTCACATTTGCCTTCATGACTTTCCATTGTATCAGCTCTCTATTTGTTCTTAGTTTTGCTTTTTTAATATGTTAAAACCCGAGTTCCAACTTTTGATGAGAAGGAAATTAAGCTTAATGTAAGACATTTTATCTTGTAGTCCTTAATGACCTGCATGATTCTGGAGTGTATATGTTCTTTTGGAGGGGGTGTGGGTGAGCAGTTAGCATTAATGCTGTTGGACACATTCATATACAGTGAACATGTGGCTTTTGTCAGGGTAGGTTGTGATGTTGTAGGCAGCTGATTTAGACAGACATAGTATAGGCAGTCAGACAGAGCTAGGCCCTGAAGGGAGCCAGTATGAAAGACAAGATACCTTGCAACTGTTGGAGAGACAGACGTTCCTGCTATGGGTCAGACCTCATGACAAAAGATCAAACAAGTGCACCCACATACCTCCGTAGGGATGGACATCAGGG